CTCTTTCTACGATTTTTTGTGAATGTTTGACCTTTGATAGAAAAGACTAACTCTTCTGCAATTTGACAATTGGCATCATTCAATAAATTGAATGATTCATTATCAATATTATTATCACAGCTTTTGTTAAGTCTATTGTTATTAATATTAGAGTTATTATCATAATCAGGTGTTACAATTTGAGGTGAAACGGTTGGTGAGTTTGATGGAGAAATTGAACCACCAGAGTTATTGTTTGGGCTTGGTCTACTTAAACTAGGTGATGGTGAGCTATTGCTATTTGAACTATATGATGCATTATTATGATTATTAGTTTCATTATTATTACTATTATTGTTATAATTATTATTATTTTCATTATTGGTGTTATTATTACAATTTGATTCACCAACATTGGTATTCTCTACTAATGATGGTGGTGAGGAGTTATTAATTTTTACAATTTCACTTTCGATTTCTCTTGGTGAACAACTATTGTTATTTGTTTGTTGATTTAAATTTATATTAAATGGTATAACCTTATTAAGTGGCAGGTATTTTTCACTTTGACTTCTTTCCATTTTAAGAGGATTATTAGAGTTATTACTATTATTGGTTGTTGATGTTATACTATTAAAAATATCAAAGTTAACTTTTTTAGGTGAGCTCCAAGTATTGAATGAATATTTTCTAACTGGCGAAATTGAGTCTTCTAATGTAAAGCTTCTAAATAATAAATCATGTTGAGAATTCTTTTTTTCTAAAGGTTTGCTATTTTGAAGTGGTGGTATAGAAAATATTTTTGTTAAATCCTTATTTGTGTTGCTTGTTGATTCTTCTTGTTTTGATGATGGTTCTTCTTTTTTTGGTACAATTGATTCAATTTGTGATCTTGGTGATAAAATTTCATCAAGATTTTCACTCTTAGTTGGTTGTTCTTTTTGTGCTGGCTGCTGTGCTGCTGGTGCTGATTGTGATTGTTGTTGTGCAGCTGCTGGTTGTTGGTAATAATTGATTTGTGGTTCACCAAAAATATTTGAATTTGGAGTTAAAATTAAAGTTAGTCTTGGGTCAGCATTTAATAAATAGGCAGTTTTTTGGAAATTTTGAATTTGTTTAATACAGTTGTACATTAGTTTTAACTTGTTAATATTAAGTTGCCAAGTTTCATCATTTGAACCAAGATGATTAGGATTTCCTTCTTGAATAAAGGTCATATCTGATAGAATTAAACCTAAAAATGGGATGCATGGTGAGGTGATGGTCTTTAACTCGGTTCTATAATTTTTAAAATTTTCATCGCTTTCCATTAGTTTTTCTAAATCTTGTAATGTCTTTTGATGAGTTTTGGGTAAAATCTTTTTGGTCCATTTTAAACGAGTAATAGAAGAGTGACTGATACCTGCATAAATTGCCATTAAAGAGTTGTAGTTTCTTAATTCATGAAGATTTTTTGCGATTTTAATGAATCTAGCCATTACTTTACAACGATCCTTTAATTTTTCTTCATTCAAAATGGTTTGAATGACATTCATAGAGACCTCATTAAATCTTGAAATTAATTTGATGATATTTGGAGCTTTATCTTTTAAATGTGGTTTACCCCAAGCTCCATTCATTAACTCTTGGGTTTCGATACAAAGGAAAATTGAAAAATCTATAGCAGTTAATGATTTTGCAATTTCCTTTGCTGGTGCATCCATGATTGATAAAAATACATCACTACTGCTCCATGTTGAGGATCTTGGTCTAGTTTGTACCCAAAATGATGATGATTGGTTTGAGGATGGTTGATTAAATGATAAAGAGTTTGAGGCTGTAATTGGAGTTGGCTGATTACTATTGTTAACGGTTGCACTACTTGTATTTGTTGTATTTACATTACTGCCATTACTACTAACGCTTCTATTATGTTTACGGTGTGATGCAGATGTGGTTGAGGATGACAATGAAAATGAGGTTGAGGTCGAAGAAGAGATTGAACCTTGACGACGATGACCAGAGGTGGAGTGATGAAGTTGATCATATTCATTTTCATAGTGACCATTTTGTTCCAAAGAAGAATAGCTTAAAACACCGCCATCCATGTAACCATTTGAAGTTGTTTGGGGACTGAAACGTCTATGGTGAGTTGGTGATGAGGGTGGAGAGGGTGGTTGTTGAAAATCCAAATCAAAGCCATAGGATTTCAATGAAGTTGATAAAAATGTTTTAATTTTCAATGTTGACTTTTTATTTAAATATCTCTTTTCAATTGCCTCAGGACTATTATCTATACTGTCACTGCTACTATTTACACCAACATTGCTATTGCTATTTGTATCCAAACATCTTTCAGTTATTTTGGTTTCCAATAAATAGATTAGTTGATTTCTTAATTCGATAATTTTACTATACAAATAGGAATCTTGAATATTTTTGATATCTACTATAAAATCTTTAAATTCTGATGCGAATGAAAAATCACAAAGTTGAGAAATATAATAATCTTTTAACCAAAATTTTATTATATTACAAATTCTTAATTGGATTTGTGGTGATTCAGTTTTAAACCTAAATTTTTAAAAAAATTAATATATATTTAAAAAAAGTGATGATTTTATATTTTAAATATTTTAATGTTACTTACAAACTTGATAATTCATTTAATATATCTTTTGAGGTAAATATACAATCATAGGTTGTAAAAAATGATTTAAATAAAATTGAGTCATCATTTGGTTCGCTTATTAACTTCTTTATCAATTTTGATAAGCATAATAATAAAACTGAACGTCTATGCTTTTCCTCTTCAATACCATCAATAACACTTTGGGGTAAGGATTGCAATCTTGGGGACTCTATATGAATACTATTTCTGTGTGATGAGGATGATAATAATGATTGTTGCTCCTCGATCAACAAGTGGTTTAGTTGTTGTTGGATTAATTGCTCTTCATAGTCATTGTTTACAACAGATATTTCCGTGGAGTTTCTTAAAACTTGTACCAATCTTTCGAATGGGTTACCATTAAAGTTCATTGATGCGTCCCATTTTGGAATGGCTACAGTGTATCTTTTATGTTTATTTGATTGATGGGTGCTAGTGGGCATTTGTGAAGCAATAATTGGTGATGGTGGTGAAAATGCAGAGGAGGATGAAATTGATAGTGAAGTTGATGATGTGGATGGAACTAAAATATGGTTAAGTGCAGTTGATGATGTAGTGGACGAGGTTTCAATATTTGTTATAATATCTAGTGAATATTCAGTTTCTGGCTCCTCGTTGCTGTTATTATGTTGAATGTGTTGGCTATCGAATGGATTTGATTTGTTATGATTTGATAATGGTGTGGTTGATGTTGGTGTTTGATAAGATGATAAAAATGATTGGTCACTTGATTGTCTATCGAGAGCTCTTGGAGGTGTGATGTTGCCACTTAAATTTGAATGTTGGTTTCGTTGAGATGGTATTCTAACTGTTTCATTCAATTGGTTTGCCATAAGTTGGATTTTTTTAATAGTTTCCTCTCTTGAGTCAAGTGTTTCTTGTTTTTTTAGTGATGGCGATTCATTTTTTATTGGAGCCGCTATCATTGATGATGCTAAACAGTTATCTGGAACTTGTTGATATTGTTGCTCGTGACCCAATAAATTTGTGGTTGATGCTGAAGAGGGATGTTGTTGACCATTAAATGAATATGATTGGGCTAATAGGTTTGGAGTTGAGGAGAATTGTTGTTGTTGTTGATGTTGGTGTTGATTTGGGAGTGGTGGTAGCGAACCTCCAGATTCAATTTTAAAATCCTCTTCACTAATTGGATCGTCCTTATTCTTTCTTGATAATAATCTGACAAAAATGCTGCCTCTATTTTTCTTTTTATCTTGTACTGATAAGGTATTATTTCCGGATGGGATATTTAAGTTTTTAAAACATTCATCATTTGAAACATTTGGAGGCAAACTATTTGTACTGGAATTTAAACTAATAGAGGTTGTATTTTGTGAGGGTGTTTCTGTTGCAATGGTTTCATTATTGTTTATATTATTGTTTATATTATTATTATTTGCACCAGTTACAATTCTCATAGATTTTCTTGATGCCTTTGAAATTAATGTATTAAATGAAAGCTTGTCTTTTTTCTCTGACTTTGATCTTGGTCTATTCATTGCTGGATTGCTATTGTTATTACTATTATTGGCTGTAGTGCAACTTGATGTGCTATATGTTGAGCTAATACTACTATTTGAATCTTGTCTAGTTAATGCAGGTATTTCTCGATTGTCGTTACTACTATTGCTATTCTCTATATTATTACTGTTGATATTATTATTACCACTACTATTATGATTTATATTTTCATTTACAACAGCCTCCTGTTGTTTTAAAGGTGAAGAAGAAAACATAACAGACTTTGAGCCATCCCTTCTAAAAGGATTAAAGGATCTTTTAGTTTTTTCTTTATTATTAGAGCTATTGTTATTACTATTATTATTATCTACAGTTTCCATTTTTTTTTTTTTTTTTCTATTTTATTAAAATTTTATATTGAATGGAGTAAAAAAAAAAAAAAAAATGGAATTATTAATTTTTATGGTGTTATTATTATTATTTGTTGGTATTATACAAAAAATATATATAAAATATATATTTATATTTTATTTCGAAATGGTACTGTGTGAGAAGGAGTTGGAAATTTTTTTTTTAAAAATAATTTTTTTTTTATTATTATTTTTTTTAAAATTTTTTTTTTAAATTTTCCAACAAATCAACCTTCACTGCTTTTTTAAAAATTGAGGAACACTGTTATGTTTTATATATGTGTGTTGGATGTGTTTATTGTAATTATTTTTTTTATTTTTTTTATTTTTTTATGTCTGAGTATGAATGTGTGGGTGTGGTTTTTTTTTTGAAAATATCAAAACAATGTTATTATATGAAAAATAAAGATAAAAATAAAAAATATGGTGATGTGATGTGAATGAATAAATAAATAAAATAAATAAATATAAATAAATAAAAAACAAATATTAAAAAAAAAAAAAAAAAAAATCTAATAGCTTTCAAAAAAAGCTATTTTAAACCAAGTGTTATTTATTTTTGTTTTGTTTATTTGGATATTTTAACTTGCTGATTTAGTATTGCAGTTATTAATAAACAAATAAATAAAATTACAATTACAATCTACAAAATGAAAAATACACTATTATTACAATAAATAAAAAAAAAAAAAGTTGTAACTACAATGTTATTTGATATTTAACAACAACTATTACTCTACTATTAAAATATTATTTTATTTTATTATTATTTTGAATGTTTAAAGTTTATTGAAAAACAAATGATTAAAAAAAAAAAAAAAAAATAGTGATTATTATTTTTTTGATGGAAATTATTATTTTAAAAGTTTAAATAATATTGAGAAAAATTAACTGACAGGGTTTTTATTTAAGTTTTTATTAATTTAAAATTAAATTTTTGTGTGTATATATATAATAATGTTGGCAGTCGAGGTTGTTTTATATGAAAAATAATGATTATTATAAAAAAATATTAAAAATTTTTTTTTTTTTTAAATTTTAAAAAAAAACAATAAATAAAAAAAAAAAATTAAAAGAAAAAAAAAATAAAAAAAATTAAAAGAAAAAAATTAAAAAAAAAATAATTGTATGATAATAAAAGTTTTTTCCTTAACTATTAAGGCAATGATTAAGTTTTTTTCGTTATAGATGGTGGGATAAATAAATAATTTAGTAAATTGAATATATAAATATATACATCATTCAAACACAAAATTATGTGTGTTGTGTATGGGGGTATAATATTATATTTTTTTTGATGATATTATTAATATCTCTTTTATTTATTTTTTGTAGTAAATTGAAAATGTATGTGGGTGTGTCGTGTGTGGGTAATATTGATTGAACGATGTGGATATTTCTTTATTTAAAAAAAAGGTGGTGCGATACCCCTTTTTTTTATTTTTTTATGTGTGTGAAAATATTAAAATATAAAAAGTGTGTGGGGTGTGTTTTTGGATGGACATACAACAAAATCTTTCGAGTAGGTGTAAAAACTTTATTAATTATTTGACGAGACTTGAAAAAAATTGTGTATACATACTATTAATAATTTAAAAATCTTGTTTTGCCCTTTTTTTCTTGTTTTTTTACCAAGCAATTTCTATAAAATAAGGTATTATTATAAATGTTGCAATATATTCCAATTCTTTTAATCTTGTTCTTGATTGAATACTCAACAAATATCTACACTTATAGTATATTAGCGATCCAAATTTATAAAAATAATAAACAATACAGTAAAAAATATATAATTATTAATGACATTAACAATGTTACTATTAAATATTTTTTTTTATTTTTTGTCAAAAAATAAAAAAATATTTATCTTTTATTTTTTTTTTTTTTGAAATCTAATTAAACTTTGAAATAAAATTGGTAAAAAAAAGATAATGATTGTTTTTTTTTTATATTATTAATTTTATAATTTTTTTTGTGTATTTTTATTTTTTTGTTTTATGTTTTATGTTTATATTGGTACTGATGATATTATAAAATTCTATTTGATAAAAAAAAAAAAAGAAAAAAAGAAAAGAAAAGAAAAGATTATTACAATTATTATTATTATTATTATTATTATTATATTATTTTTTTAGTGGACGATTTTTATTATAAATTGAAGGTGTTTGATATTCCATATAATTAACATCATTTGCACCAGATAAAGCCTTCATTGAACCACCAGTAGTTCTACTAACAGCAGTTGGATTGGTACCTGGTTTTTGTTTTTTAGCTGTACCACCACGAGTAATATCATCGAAATCTTCTTCGAGTGTTTCATTTTTACCACTATCCTCGCCTTCACCTAAAACTTGACCCAATAATTCCAATTGTTCCTGTTTTGAAGTGTATTTAAGGGTTGGATCTTGATCAAGACCTGGTAATTCGGAAATAACTTTGAAACTGTAACCTTGGTCAATTAAAAACTGTTGTCTTTTAGTACTATAATACATTTCCTGTGTGTCTTTAGAGACCAATGAATAAAAGAATGCATTGTAAAGACCATCAGACTTTGGTTTTGGACGTAAAATACGACCAAGACGTTGAGCCTCTTGACGACGTGAACCATAATGAGATGAAACCTGAATGATGACTGTGGCTTCTGGGATATCGATAGATGTATCACCAACTTTTGAGATGAAAATAGTTCTAACCTTTGGATCATGTTGGAACTTTGATAGAATACTCATTCTTTCGTGACCTGATGTTGGACCATAGATGAAATATTTACCTAAACCCTTGGCATACTTTTGAAGAGCATAAACGTTGTCAGAGAATACAATAATCTTATCACCTCTTTGTTCGTGGAATTTAATTAAATATTCGCAAGCACGGAACTTATTTGGGTTCATAGTGTATAAAAGCTTCTTTTTGCATTGACTGTCATTGATGAGATACTCTTTATAAAACTCAGCACTCATTGGACACCATACTTCAGAACATGATACATTGGCAAGGAAACCTGATTTTTGAAGATCTAACCAATTGGCCTCATAAAGCTTTGGACCAATAAGGAAATTTAAATCCTGAATCTTTTCATCTTCACGTAACAATGTTGCAGTGAGACCCAATTTACAATGAGCCTTTGTTACTGTTAAAACCTTTCTAAACATTGCAGCTGGAACTACGTGTACCTCGTCTAATAATACCAAACCCCATTCTCTATTTGTAATTTCGTTCATAATTTTTAAAGAGTCTGCTGAACGTCTACCACCAAAAGCTACCATAGTATAGGTTGTAATGGTGACACCTGCCAAGCTACAAAGTTTTTCTTTATTGTCACTTGTGAATTTAGAAATCATTTTCTCTTCAATATTACTCCATAATTTGAATTGATACTTCCATTGCTCTACAGATACAGCAGATGTACACAAAACCAAGATACTCTTTTTGACAGTGCATGCCGCTGTGATACCACTCAACGACTTACCAGCACCACAAGGTAAAACAATAATTCCTGAACGAGCACGACCATTACCAAACATCTTAGATAACGACTTTTCTTGATATGGACGAATCATTGTAGTTGGCTTTAAATCAATATTTAAATTAGGATTAACTGTGTCATTACGAAAATCATACTCTTCCAATACTGGGTAATCCAATTGAATACAACGCTTCTTTACCTCTTCGACCATTTGAGAATTAATTTCGAATGAATGAAAATGTTGATCAGAGTTGTTAACTGTATCTTCTTCCTCCTCTTCCAAAAGTGATGTAAGTGCATCATTTTTTAAAACTGGATCTAATGATTGATTAGCTTGAAGGCCACCACTAATTTGTGCACCAACAATTTCTACTTTATTAATAATTAAACCAGTTTTTGGATCAATAACAGACTCTTCGAGTGTTGGCTTGATTCTGGATGATGCAATTGTAGAATCTTTTAAAAGAAACTCTAGTACCTCGGGATATGCAGACTCTACGAAATATTTATTCTTTTGTAATACTAGTTTGACTTTACCATAACTTTGTGTACATTGTCGGATGAATTGCTCTACTTCTTTTGGCAAATATAGTTTTGATAATCTATTTAATACTGTAATAATGTCATTGGTCTCCAAACCTACTGATACCGCTGCATACAATGAATACGGTGTTAGCTGGTATTCATGAATTAACTGTGGTCTGCAAACTGGTTCTGAAATTGCGACCAAAAAATCTGATGCTTGTTTATAAATTGGTGAAAAAGTTTCTAAAAAAATGTGTCCATCTGGACATACCCATAATGGTCTCGTTTTATCATCTTTCTTTAAACCACATTTCTTTGAAAAATCGTGAAATGATCCTTTTCCTTCTGTTTCGGTATTTATATTATTATTGTTACTGGTAACACTATTTGTTTTTTTTATAGATTGATTAAATTCCCCTGATTCTTCTAATTCTTCTTCAAAATCTGTCCATGTATTATATGTTTTAGTTGTATTAGTTGATCTATCTTTTCTTTTTCTTGAATCTGTCATTATATAATTTATATATAAATATTTACAATAAAAATTAAAATAATAATATAAAATTTAGAATAAATCTATTTATTATAACTTTATAAAAAAAAAAAAAAAAGAAAATAGATTATTTGATTTTTATTTGTTTTTTAAATAAAATGAAAAAAAAATAATAAAAATTTAAAAAAAAAAAAATTTTAATTTAAAAAATGAAAAATAAATTTTAAAAAAAAAAAAATATTTATTTAAAATTTAAATAAAAAATTATTTAATTCCAAATATATTTATTTTAAAAAATATAAACAATATAAAATTACAATAATAATTCTAGAACTATAAATAAATTTATAAATATTTAATACCAAATTTATACTACTTTTTTTTAAAAAGAATTTTTATATATACTCAGATAAAATAAAAAAATCAAAATGGTTAAATAATAACTATATTATAACTAAGGATATTTTCTATAACTTATTATAACTATTATTAATAAATTAATTTTAAATCATATTTTATTTATATTTGTATTCTTCAATTTTTTTTTTTAAAAATTTTCGAATTTATATAAATTAATAATATTTTTTTATTTTAAAAATATAAAATATATGAATAATTTATAAATAATTAAATGGTAATAAATAATATTAAAATAAACAATAATAATATAATAATAATAATATAATAATGAAAATAAAAATAAAATATGCAATAAAGTTCAATTTGCTTTCTTATAATTTTAATGAAATTATTGTGTAGAAAATTTAACGTTTCGTCAAAACGAAAATTTGTATGGTGGAAATTCCTCATATAAAAATAAAAAAATTAAAAAAAAAAAAATTAAAAAAATTAAAAAAAAAAAACAATGCCCTAGCCTAAATTTTTTTTTTTTTTGATGTAAAAATTCCTTTTCCTCTCTTTTGTAACTGTTACATATCACAATGAAGGTTTGTTATCTCATATAAAATTTTATATGTATATGACTATATCTGTGTCATAAATTCAATAGCATTCATCAATCCTCAAGATAATCAAAGATTAAGAAAGATTAATACAGTATTATAAAGATTGTTGATTATGGATATAGGATTAGAGGATATCACATACAGAAATAAAAAAAAATCAGATACAGCACAGATACATAAAAAATTATAAAAAAGTTATTATGGCAAATCATTAACATAATTTTATATATTTCGATTATTATAGCTTAACATTGCCTATCCAAGCACTGGTGCTCAAAAAAAGATCAACATTGAAGACAAGAACAAAGTTCGTTGCTTCTTTGAAAAAAGAATCGGCCAAGAAGTCGAAGGTATGTTATAATATTATATGTGTTATTTGTAACCAAACTATGACCGTTTATTAACATATTTTTTATTTCATTTCAAATATCAAATTTCACTTTAATTAAATTCAATATTAAAATTCAATAATAATAGCCACCACTTTAGGTGATGAATTCAAAGGTTACGTTTTCAAGATCACTGGTGGAAATGACACTGAAGGTTTCCCAATGATGCAAGGTGTTGCCGTTCCACACAGAGTTCGTTTATTATTAGACAAAAACTCAGGTTGTTACGTTCCAAAACGTGACGGTGAAAGAAAGAGAAAATCAGTTCGTGGTTGCATCGTCGCTGAAGATATTGCCTCATTACAACTTGTCGTCGTCAAAAAGGGTGATAACGAAATTCCAGGCTTAACTGATGTTTCAATCCCATCAGCCAAAGGTCCAAAGAGAGCCTCAAACATCAGAGCCCTCTTCAAATTATCAAAAGACGAAGATGTTAGAAGATACGTCATCCGTCGTGAATTACCAGCCACTGACAAGAGAAAAGCTAAATCAAAGGCTCCAAAGATCCAACGTTTAGTTACTCCAGTCACCATTGCTCGTAGAAAGGCTCTCCGTAACAAGAAACTCGTCCGTCACGAAAAAGCTGCCAAAGAAGCCACTGAATACGCTAAACTCGTCGCCCAAAGACAACAAGCCACCAAACAAAAAAGATCAACCAAAGCTTCATCAAAAAAAGTTTCAACTAAATAAATAAATAGTTAAACATCCTTTTATAAAAAGAAAAAAAAATAATATAGTATAAAAAAAATAATAATAATATTTATTGTGCAACTTAAAAAATTATTTATATTTATTTTAATACCATTTTTTTTTAATTTATTTTTATATCAAATCGATAAAAAAAAAAATCTAATTAAGCATATCGCATTTTATTTTAATTATTTTTTATATATTTATTTTTTATATTTTGAATAATATTTAAATTTATTTTTTTCCAAAATAATTCATTTTATTTGAATGTGTTATATTTTAAAACAAAATGCATTAAAATAAAGTTATATATTTATCAATTATTTGATTTAAAATGGTCAAGAAAATATAAAATTCTAAGAAGGTTTTTTAAAAGGGGTAAAAAAAAAAATAATTCATTTAAAAATTATTTTTTTTAATTTTTTTTTTTTTAATTTTTTATTTTTTCGTTCCATTAGTTTTCTTATTTACTTTTTATTTTTTTTACAAATTTACAGATAATAAATAATAATAATATTTATGAATTAATATATATGTTTATATTTTAAAATTACTGTATATTAATTCATAAAAAAAAAATACCATATACAGTTTTAAATTATATTATATAATAGTATGGAATGCAATAAGGATGATGCACTTAAAGCTAGAAATTTAGGGGAATCATATTATAAAGAAAAAAACTATTCAAAAGCATTATCATTACTAGCCAAATCCAAGAGACTCTATCCGACAGATGGTATTGATCAATTAATATCGACAGTAGAAGATTGTTTAGCAAACGATGATTCATCTTTAAATAATAATGACAGTAATATAAATAATAGTCCAAATAATAATAATATAAATACTGATGAAAAAAGCAGCGATAATAATAAAAATAATAGTAATAGTAATAATAATAATAGTAACAATAATAATAACACAATAAATAATCAATTATATACAAAAGAACAAATTGAAATTACTAAAAGAATTATTGAATCAAAAACTCATTATGAAAAACTTTCATTGACAGCATCATGCACAGAAATAGAAATTAAAAAGAAATATAGGCACTTGGCAAAATTACTACACCCAGATAAAAATAGTGCACCGCAGGCACATATAGCATTTCAAGAGATTAAACTTGCACATGATGTTTTATCAGATCCAATACTAAAAAGAAAATATGATGATCAGTTAAGAACTCAGCAGTTTATACAAAAGCAGCAACAACAAAGACAACAACAGCAAAATTATTTTAACCCATTCCAAAATCCTGATTTTTATAAAAGGGGTAGTAAACCTTCACCATCATCTCAACACCAAAAACAACATCAAAAAAATCAACAACCTAGGATAATAGAGTGTTTAAATTCAAAAACTTGCCCAATAATAACGTTATCATCAGCTATTTATGATTCCTATTTAAATTGCCAAATCAGTATTTTGTGTAGATGCAATAAAGAGAGTGCCTATGTAAAATGCAAATCATGTTCATCAGTGTACCATTTATCAGATAATTACAAATCAATTAAATCTGAATTACAGTGTCAAGGTGCTGGTTGCAAACAAAAAGTTTCTTGTGGCTTTCCAGATAAAATGTATAGTGTCGAGCTATCAAATATATTTATTAGAGAGGAGCCAAAAGTTCAATCTCCAAAGAGGAGCCCATCTCAGCAAACACATTCACAATCTTCATCACAATTTTTTTATCAATCACAACAGCCACTGCATCACCAACACTATTTTTCATCACAGTTTCAATCTCAACCATATTACTCACAATCACAAAAATCATCGCCTCCTCGTCCATTGCACCAAAAAAAGAATGAAAATAATTTAAATTCAAACTATAGAGAGCCATTTGTTCAGGATAGTGACGATGAAGAAGATATTGACCAAGTTAAAAAAGAAAGATTAGAAAAGGATAAATTAGAAAAAATGCAAATGGAGAAACAAAAGAAAGAGAGAGAAGATTTATTAGAAAAAGAGCGTATGGAGAATTTAGAAAAACAGCGTTTGGAAAGATTGGAAAAGGAACGTACAGAAAAGGAGCGTACAGAAAAGGAGCGTATAGAAAAGGAACGTATAGAAAAGGAACGTATAGAAAAGGAACGTATAGAAAAGGAACGTATAGAAAAAGAGCGTATAGAAAAAGAACTTATTGAAAGGGAACGTGCTGAGAAAGAGCGTATAGAAAAAGAACATATAGAAAAGGAGCGTATAGAAAAGGAACGTATTGAGAAAGAAAGACTTGAAAGGGCGGCAGAGAGAGAACGTACCGAAAAAGAACTTATTGAAAAGGAAAATGAACGTTTAGAGAAATTGAAGGAAATCGAGAAAAAGAAAAAACAAAGAATGAACAACTATGAAACCTTTGATGAAATAGAGGAGGCTAAAAAGAAAATACTAGAAGAGAAATTAGAGGCTACAGAAAAACCAAACAAACAAAAATTTATTATACCCACAATAAATAGACTTTCAAGAGCTTCAATTGGTGCGGTTATATTAAATAATAGTAATAATAATAATGATGATATTAAAAATAATAGCAGTAGTCAGGATAATGAGGAGCCACCAGTCGAATTATACCCACCTTTACCAGTATTTTCAAAATCTGTTGAGCTAAAAGAACCTGATGAAAAGAAATCAAAATATATACACACAGATATTTCATCATTCTTTAAAAAAGATGATCAAAAAATAGAAAAATCACCACCACCACCACCACCAACCAATAAACCAAAAGTCATATTAGCTCCAACAGTGCCAGTTAAACAAAAGTCACCACCACCCCAACGAAAGCAAAGCCTAGAAACTGATCAACAAAACAGTAAATATGTTCAGGTTCCAGAGCCACCAAAAGACTTTAATTTTCAGTTTAATAAATCAAAAAAGAAGGAAGAGTTTGATTTGTTTGAAGAGGATTTGGATGAATCACCTTCATCATGGCTCTCACAAGCTCCAACTCATAATCCAAATAAAAAAGAGGAACCCATTGAACAAAAAACTTCAATTTCAAAATCTCAAAAAGATAGTAATAATGATAATAACAATATTGGTAATGGTAGTTCTCAATTAAACAGAGGGGATAGCGATTTATCAAATGGTTTACCAAATAGTAATTTATATAGTTATAGTTTTGTTGGTTTTGGAACTGAAGATTATTTTACATTTGGAGGTGAGGATTATTACCAAGATAGTTACGAATACAATACCAGCGATCAAAAACAGCCAAATGGATCAAATGTTGCAACAGGTAGCAATAATAATAATAACAATAACAATAATAATAGCAATAAAAATAACAATAATAGTAAAATCAGTAATAGCAATAGTAATAACAATAATCAAAATCAAAATAATGTTTCGAAATCATCTAGCTCTGGGCCGGTAAAAAAAAGTTTTAATTTTGAGGTTTATGATGAAAGTGATTTAGAAGATGAAGAGGACGAAGGAAGAGGCATTATGGAAAGTGTAAATATTAAAAAAAGACCAAGTATCGAAAATAAAGATAAAAGATCCAGCAAAAAATTAATTCATTCGCCTATACAACAAGGAAATAAGATGGATATCAGGCTATATGCTACTAAATAAATAAATGTAAATAAAATTAATTATAATGTTTTTTTTTGTACTCTTTAATTAATTTTAAAGTGGTAAAAAAAGAAAACAATAAAATACTGGTATATATTTGTGTTTTAGCCATTTTTATTTATTTTTAATTTTTTTTTTTTTTTTTTCAAAAAAACTTTTTTTTTATTTTTTTTTTTTAAAAACTGTTTTTTTTAAATTTATAAAAAGTAATCTTATATAAAAATTATTTGTTTTTATTTTATTTTTAATATATATTGGTTTATATTGTTAAATGTTAAATAATAATATTGATGAAAGAAAGATTTTAAAAAAAGGGTATCATATATCCACCAAAAGTACATACTTTCAAGTTCTTTATGATGTTTACCTAAGCAAAAGAGACGACTGGATTAGTGTCAACTCCCACATCGCACCAGTTGGGAATAACTTTCAAGAAACATTAGATTTAATAAAAAATCAAACTAAAGATAGTGAAGTACCATTACTATTTACAAATTTAGCATGGGAAAGAAACTGTTCAATAACATATATCCGTAATCAAGTTTATTTTGATGAAAATCAAGAAAAAAAGTTATACGAACATTGTAGAGCCATAGAATCATCATCAATTATTAGAAACTCGGTTGGTAATTCAAATATTTTAACAGATAAATATTTATTGTACAAATATTTATTGAATGGAGAGAAATATTTTGCTGTACCAACTATATTAATAAACAAAGGCAGGGTTGACGAAACCAAAGGTAAGTTCTTTGAAGGAGCAGAGTTCACTAAAAATGACGGTTTATGGTATTTAAAAGACTCAATGAGGAATAAGTCTGAAGGAATTTATTTATTTACAAACAAAGAAGAGGCATTTGAATTTTCAAAAAGAGATGAAAATATCAATAGAAGGTTTTTATTACAAAAAGAAATTACACCGATGCTCATCGACTACCACTTCAAGTTTGATGTTAGGGTGTACATTGTTTCTGTCTTCACACCAGAGTACACCAAATGCTATTTATTCAACGAGGGTATAGTCAGATCGACGAATTCTGTCTATAAAAGAGGTGACCTGCACAAAGAAAGTCAATTAACCAATTTCTGTTACCAAAAACAAGTTTCACCTGAATTTCAAAGAATATATAGATTAAGCGACATCACTAAAGACCAACTTGACATTGACCCCAGTGAAATGTTTGAGAAGATTAAAGAGTGCACAGCAAGTTGTTTTGGTGATGTTTTAACAAAACTTAATCAATACAAGCACCATGGATTCACATTGTTAGGTTTGGATTATATTTTTGACCACGAAAAAAAACCATATCTTTTAGAAATTAATTATTCACCTTCAGCATTCCAAGACTCGCCAAACAATGTTCCATTAGTAGTTCAAGAGCTTTGCAAGCAACTTCCTTTAATTGCTTTGGATCCAATTTTAGAAAATAAATCACCCATCTTGAATGATTTTATCGAAATTAATTCAATAAATCACCACTGCTCAAAAAATGGCGGTAATGAGGATCATAATACTGAAGATTTCGAATTATTTTAAAAAAAAAAAATCCATCAAAAATAATCCATCAAAAATAAAAATAAAAAATAAAATAAAATTAATCATGATTACTTTAATTTATGATTTAAAATTCAATGATAAATCAAAAAATAAATGGGGTTAAAAAAATAAATTAAAAACAAACACTCCTAAAAATAGATTTTTTTTTTTCGAAAGTAAATATTTTTATTTTGTGTGAATGCAAACCAAATCATAGCATAAAAAAAATCAAATTTTATATTGGGGTTAACCCTCACACCACACAACACCACAAAAAAACACTTATTAATAACTCATTAATTTATTTTTGATTTATTTTAAACACACCCCTTTTTATTTTTATTTTTATTTATTTATTATTTTTATAAATTATTTATTTGTTTTGGGTGTTGATTATTGATGATAATTTTTAATTTACTAAATTTAAAAATTATTTATTTAATTATTTATTTATTTATTTATTCATTTATATAAACTTAAAAATTGTAAACTTTTAAAGATTTACAACTTTTTTTGATTAAAAAAAAAAAATGTTAATTATTATTTTTTTTTTTTTTTTTAATTTTTTTTAAAAAAATTTTTTTATTTATTTTTTTTTAATTTTTTTTTATTTTTAAAATTTTTTTTTTTTTTTTTATTATATATCATTTTGTACATTAAACTACAATTCTCTTTTTCTTTTTTTTTTATTATTTCCCTTTTTTTTTTTTGTTTTTTTTTTTTTTTGAATTATAAATATATTTAAAACATATAGTTATAATCATACATTAAAATAATAATAATAGTTAAATATATATATATATATATAAACAATATAAATATAATTTTGTATAATAAATAATAGTAATAATAAATATTGATTCTTGTCAATCAAAAAATTAAAATAAAATGAATATTTTTGGGTAGGTTTAAAAAAGAGAAAAAAAAGCAAAATAGAAATAACAAAATAATAATAGAATTTAGGATTAAAACAAAAATAATTTTACGAAATCATACTGATTTTTCTTTTTTTTTTTTTTAAAAAAAAACAATTCAATTGCAATTATAATTATTTAGAAAAAAGAGTCAAACATTTAAACCAAAAAAGAATATACAAGAAGGATCAAAACAATATCATCTTAAACAATATGCTGAAGCAACATTAGGTAGCGGTAATCTTAAATCAGCAGTTTCATTACCAACTGGCGAGGATATAAATGAATGGTTAGCTGTAAATAGTAGGTGTTTTTATAAAGCTTTATATTAGTTTTAGATGGTTTATAATTGAAATAAATGTATTAACCCCGTTTCATTTTAAATTTATAGCTACAGATTTTTTTAATCAAATTAATATGTTATATGGAACAATTACAGAATTTTGCACACCAGCAGATTGTCCTGTCATGTCAGCAGGACCAAAATATGAATATCATTGGGCAGACGGTACAACAGTTAAAAAAGCAATTAAAGTATCAGCACCAGAATATGTAGATTTTTTAATGACATGGGTACAATCCCAACTCGATGATGAAAATATTTTTCCATCAAAAATCGGGGTACCATTCCCAAAGAACTTTCAATCAATCGTTAAAACCATCTTCAAACGTTTATTTAGAGTTTACGCACATATATATCACTCTCATTTCCAAAAGATTGTTTTATTAGGTGAAGAAGCCCATCTCAATACCTCACTTAAACATTTTATCTATTTTATTCAAGAGTTTAATTTAGTTGATAAAAAAGAATTAGGACCACTCAACGAATTAATTGAAAGTTTAATGAAGACTCCATAAATTAATAAATTTAATAATATATAAATGTAAAAAAAAAAAAAACAAAAAAAAAAAAAATAATAATAAATAATAATAGACACATCATAGAATTAATAATAAACAATAAATAACAATAATAACAATAATAACAATAACAATAATAATAATATTATAATAATAATAATATAGTCATATATATATAATAATATATATTAATAATTAATTTTGATTTTTTTTCTTTATAATCAATCAATTAATTTGTAAATTATCTAGCATTTAATTTTTTTAAAAAAAAATAAATAAAATATAAAATTTTAAAAATATTTATCTTTTTATTTCTTTTAATTTATTTGTTTTTCATAGTTTTGTTTAATATAAAGTGATAGGAATTCTTTTAATGATGTTGGGTTTCTCTTTAAAACAGTTAATAGATCAGATTTGCATGAATAAAATTCATTATCTCCCATGGCCAATGCAAAAGCTAATGAAAAGCTTATAAAACCATCTTCTTTACCCAAATTCATTAGATCTTGTTTGTAGGATTCAGCAGTTGGGCTGATATATTGAATTTTTTTACCCGTAATTTCACATAGTATATCTGCCACATCATGAAGAGTGTGTGTTTCTTTTGAATTAAGATATAGGGTTTTTCCAATATAGTCATCACTATTTAAAACTACATTTACAGCTGCTTCAGCTAAATCTTCTCTGGTTGTATAGTTAATTAAACCATTACCAGCAGGAAAAGATAGTACACCGGTGTTTATTACTGTTTCTAATGGATTGAAGAAAAAATTTGTTATACCTTCACAATAAAGACCATTAACCAAAATTGTGTGTGGTATACCTGATTCTTTTAATAATTTTTCAGTGCCGATATGTGTCTCTTTAATAAAATCAATATGAGATGGTATTTCAAATGAATTGTGTTTCCTAATAAAACTGGTGTATGCAATAAATTTAACATTGGATTTTTTTGCAGCATTAACAATGTTTAAATGGTGGGTTTTTCTGTAATGTAAATCATTAGATGAAATAAATAATATTTTTTTAATATCTATAAAAGAAGATGTCAATGAATTTGGGTCATTATAATCTGCTTTTCTTATTGTAACACCCCTATTTTTAAAATGTTGTACTTTGGATTCATCTCTAACTAAAGCAATTATACTATTACTATTATAACCTTTTCCTAACAAAAAATTAATGGCATAGTTCCCTAAAAAACCACTGGCACCAACAATTAATATATTACATTTCATTTTTAATGTATAGTTTATTATTAATAAATATTTTTTACATTTATATTTATTTACATATTTTTTATTAAAAAAAAATACAAACCCCAAAAAGTCAAATTTGTATTTTTTTATTTATTTAATCTGTAAATTTTCTTTATTATTTGTTTTTCTATATAACAAAAAAAATGGTAAAAATAAATTTAATTTATTTTTATTTAAATATTAAAATCGATAGATTCTTCTTTTATTAACAATAGATATTGTTACAAAAATATAACCAATTATACTGCAACACTGTATCCCCAAACATCTAATAGTTAAATTTCATTCATGAAGCATATATATATAGATAGACAGTATTTATATAGCTTAATTTAATCAGAATTGTAAGTATTATTAAGATTTCAATTATAGTTGTAATGGGTTTAATATTAATATTTTTTCAAGATTAATATTAGGGATTGTGATGTCAGTATTGGTATATCCAATGATGTATATAAGATATTATATATTCAAAAATACTCTAGAATATATCATAATGAAAATTTTAACTTTAGACAAGAGCCATTCTTTCTCTTCCAAATACTTAAACATATACAAATGATTAAAAATTACAAAAATTGCTATTAATTATAAATAAATAAAATAATATTAACTTTATATGATATTAAAATAATTAACTTATTATTTATTTAAAAATAAATTTAATTTTTTTTCATGAATTGCATCGGAAATAATTTTTATATCTACATCCGTTGGACGATCACGATCAAGCTTTGGAACAAATGATCTTATTGATTCATATAACCTTAGAGTGTTTTCACAAAGTTTAAATGAATCATTTTGAGCTAATCTTAAATCAATAGCTTGGCATGCCATTATTAATGTCATTGATACGATGTCACAAAGTTTTTGTTCCATACTGACTGCACCCAAAGCAGAGTGTAGTCCTAAACTTACAATATCTTGATTGAATTGTTCAGTTGTTAAACTATGAATGCTTGCAGGTGATGCTTCTTGTCTTAACCAAGTAACTAAAGCTGTTTGGGATATTTGCATTCCTTTAAAGCCTTGATATATTCCAACATCTGATGCAAGGGAATTGGGTAGCCCTTTTGAAAAACCGTTGTGCATCATTAATGCTACCAAAGAGTGTAGATGATTGGCCACCAGTGAAATATCTAATTTTATTCCATCCATAGTTCTAGCAATGTGATTACCCATAAAATTACCACCACTTAGAGCATCACCATTAAATGGATCTATCAAAGGATTATCATTTGCAGAAAAAATCTCTCTTTTTAAAACTTTTTTTGCATTATCAATAGATTCATGTATGATACCCAAAATCTGTGGTGCACAACGTAATGAATAAACCTCTTGAACTGATTTATTTAGTTTTTTAATGTTGGAACTGTTAGTTGTTAGATTAAAGTATTCATTACTAGTATTATTGTTGTTATTTAAATAATTATTTAAAATTTTTGCAACATGGATTTGACCTGGATGGTTTTTTAAGTTATGGATACGCATATCATAATGGTCTCTCGATGCAAGTAATGCTTCTGCAACTAAAGATACAGCTCCTAAGGCTGTATTGTACACATTTTCGAAATTATATAATGATATTAAACTAACTGCACTCATTACTCTAGTGCCATTTACCAATGCTAATCCTTCTTTGGACTTTAAAGTCAATGTTTCAATTTTTGCAATTCTTAATGCATCTTCTGCACTCATTATTGAGTTTTCAAATCTTACTTTTCCTTTTCCACACAATGAGTTTGCTACATAACTTAATGGTATTAAATCGCCACTAGCACCAACGGACCCAAGTTTTGGTATTAGTGGTACTATCCCCTTGTTTAAATGTTCTACTAATAGCAATACAACTTGAGGTCTTACAGCTGACCAACCTTTGCAAAGAGCAATTATAATATTTAATTGTATTGCTCTAACATACTGATCGGGAAAATATTCACCAGTTCCCACTGATAAAAAATCTAATAGATTGGATTGATGATAATCTAATTTATCATAAGGGATCATTAAATCAGCATTTCCACCAAAACCAGTATTTATTCCATATATTGGCTTGTATTCTTTGAGTTTTTCTTCTAGTTTTTCCCTTCCTTGTTGTAAAAAATTCAGAATTTTATTATCAATTTTAATTTTTAGTTTTCCCAATGAAATGTTTATTATGTCATTAATTTCGATATCTAAATTATCAATATTAAAAACACCCATATTTTTGTAAATTAATATTTAAAATAATGAATTTTTTTTTTTCTTTAAATAATAAAAAATATTAAAAAAAAAATATAACCCACAAAATTACTTGAATATAGAATTATCGATTAAATTTTTTTACACCCAAATTGTTTAAATTGGTATTTTTTAAAAATATTTTTTAATATAAAAAAAATGTTCTTGGTTATTTTTTGTGATATAAAAAAAATGTTTTTTTTTCAGATAAAAATTTTTAATTTCACATATCACCCCATAAATCAGTAAGATTTTATCTAAAGATTTAATTAGTAATTAAATTTTCAAAAAAATTATGAGCATGAAAAAGAAAAATATTAGTATAGCCCAGAAATGATAAAATTAGATTTTAATTTTACCCAACTCTTATAATACTTTTTTTTTTTTTTTTTTGAAAACCTTTTAAAACAAAATTTTTTATTTTGAAATAAATATTTGTTTTATATAACAATTTTTAAAAAAATTGTTTTTAACAAACTTTAAATAAATAAAAAATGAAAGTTTATATAAATAAAAAAATTTATTTTAAATCAGATCATCCCGATATAATTATCGAAAATAATAATTTATCAAATTTTATATTAAATTCTTTAAAAGAAAAAGAAAACAAAATAATTTTAAAGGATGAAAATTTAAATAGTATTAATTCATATGATTTTATAGATGCTGTTCAAAAGGTAAAAAAAAAAAAAAAAATTATAATATAAAATAATTAATCTTTTAAATTTATTATTTAAATAGGTAGCAAAAGGTTTTAATCTACTAGGGATAAATAAAGGGGATGTAATAGGAATATTAACTCCGAATATGATAGAATATACATATTGTGTTTTGGGGGTACTTTTAGGTGGAGGTATTATTTCTCAAATCAATCCCAATAGTACGGCAAATGAAATAAAAAATACACTATCAACAGTCGAACCAAAATTTATTATTATAAACTATTCAAACTATATTAGAATTAAAGAAAGTATTAAAGATCTATTTCCCCAGTGTCGTGCACTTATTTTAATATACGATTGTGACAATGAGCAAAATATTAAACTTTCTTCAGAGTCTTCATTAAATATAATACATTTAAATAATTTTATGGACAATGATGGTATATATAATGAAAGTTTAGCAAAAGTAGAATCATATAATGAGATAGCAGCCCTTTTATTTTCGAGTGGTACTACAGGAAACTACAAGGGTGTTTGTCTTACTCATTCAAATTTTCTTGCAAGTATTAAACAAGTGATAGTATCAGAGTATTCAAAATACACAGAGCCACAAAAAATCATTGGTTGCATACCAATGTATCATATTTTTGGTTTAATAACTGTGTTTTTATGCTGCATTACATATGGATGTTGTTTATATTTTATAAAAAATTATAGTTTAAAAAAATTATTAACTTTTATTGAAAAAGAAAAAATTACACTTGCTTTTGTAATTCCCACAATTGGTATCGATTTGGCAAAATCATCTTTGGTCGATAAATATGATTGCTCTTCGCTTACAACAATCCTTTCAGGAGGGGCTCCATTTCCAGAGACTATTGTAAAAGAGCTTCAAAAGAGAATTGGAGTTACCATCAACAAAGATAATGAACCCATTAAAAACCTTAAAATAAGACAGGGTTACGGATTAACAGAATCTTCTGCTGTTGCATTAGCAGATCCATTTAAATATGAAACTTCATCATCTGGCAAATTATTGTCCAATTTAATTTCTAAAGTTATTGATTTTGACAGCGGTGTTAACCTAGATGTAAACCAAATTGGTCATATATGCATAAAAGGTCCAAATATAATGAAGGGGTATTATAATAATAAAAATGCAACAGATAGTACTTTCGATAATGAGGGATTTCTATTAACTGGTGATGTAGGTTATTTCAGAGAAAATGGTGAATTATATATCGTCGATAGAATAAAAGATTTAATTAAAAGTTATGGTTATCAGGTAAGTTTTCTTTATTTTATTTTTATTTTATTCTATCCTATTAATTTGTTAATTATTATTATAGGTGGCACCTGCCGAGTTAGAGTGCATTTTATTAGGCCACCCTAAAGTCCAGGAAGTTTGTGTAATAGGAGTACCATCCTCTGAAAATGGGGAAGCACCAAGAGCCTATATTGTTTTAAAACCAAACGAAAAAGCAACTAAAAACGAAATTTATAAATGGCTGAACCCAAAGATTTCCCACTATAAGTCGTTAAATGGTGGTGTTGTTTTTGTTGATAGTCTACCCAAATCCAATGCAGGTAAAATATTAAGAAGAAACTTAAAACTCCAATCTAAAATGTGAAAAATAAAAAATTATTTCTATATATAAAATAAATGAATAATTATTCATGTTTTTATAATCTATTCTTTTATATAAAAAACTTAATTATTAGTATTAATGTTTTTTTTAAATTTAAAATCAACCCATTCAATCAAATCGACCATGGAGTTTTTATAATTTTATTCCAACCAAAGGTCTCAAATATATCTTTTTTCTATTGTTAATAATATTTAAAAAATTAGATTGTAAATATTGAAAAATAAATTTATTATTAAAGTTTTAAAACAGAAAAAATTATTCCCAATTTATATCTATTCCATTATTTGTAAAATTTAAATTGTTATTAATGTTAAAAAGGTTATTTAAGACTGTATTAAAATGATTATTGGATTCAATTTTATGTTTTTTTATTTCCCCATTGTATGATGTAATTGTTAAAAATGATTTTGTTAATACGGCAATACCCTCCTCAATAAATCTAACAACTATTGGACTATAAACCAAATCGATTTTATCAGCTATTATTATAGCTTGTGAAACTGTTAAATAATTTTCTCCCACAGGCTCTAAATTAAATACATTAATTGAACGCCATTCTCTAAATTTTTCAATTACATAATTATTATCTTTTTTAAATTGTAAAGTGTGTGTATAGTTTTTAGTTTCTCCAGTATGTAATATAGATTGATTTTTTTCTTTTATTATTCTAAACAATCCATTTTTACTCTTTGAAACAATGCAATCATTTTCATTTTCACCATCACTAATTAAAACAGGTTTAATTGCAGTATATACACCAAAACCAATATCTAAAAAGTATTTTTTATTATCATGTATCATTACCACTGCTACATGACATCCTGGTGCTCTATTAGGTGTGGGACCACAAACAACAGTTCCAGCAACCATAAAAACATTAAATCCATAATCTAATAAAAAATAATATAATAAACTATTTAATTTAAAACATAAACCCCCATTTTTTTCAATTAATAATTGATTATATATTGATTCTTTTGTAACCAATCCATGTTTTCCTTGTATTATTTCTAAATTTTCAAATGAAAAGGTTTTGCAACAAGATTCCATAATATTGGGAATATCTTCAAATCTAAAATTTAAAATAGACTCTATATTAATTCT